ATTTTTCTCAAGCAGATATTTTGGTTCCAAAATTTGGAATTCAGCTTTCAATTCACTACAATTCACTATTCAGCGAATAACCCCTAATACGGCTAATATAGCATCAGCATGTTTTAAAGATTCCCAGGTAAGGTAATGAATTACGTCTAGGAACCGAAGGTTAGGAAAATTGTTTCCTTAACACAGTGTTTTACATTGCGTGGGTTTGCAAGACGTTTATGAAAGAGAGTGTTGTTGGATTTTTTTTTAACCCTTTCCCAACTCCTGGCTGCTGTATAATACCATTCAGCAAAGGATTGCAGGTTAGCTGAATGCGTTATTCATACATAAAAGCACCCCCTCACATAAATTATTTGCAGTAGTGTGTATTCCAGTCATTTCAGACCGGTTCCCTGTGCCTGTGTGCGGTTTGATTGAGGTGTTTCTGGTCCTGATAATTTATGTGAAATTCAATTTCTTTCCTTCGTGCTCTGCTGGTGGAAAAAAAAAAGAGCTCGACCTGGTATATAAGTTGTGGGCAAACAAAACTTGAATAGAGTCTTTGAGAGAGCGAACAGTGAGCCTGCCTCACTGTGTGAATAACAGAGACTCCAAAGAGAGGAATTCTAATGGTGAGGCACACAGGTAGTGTAGGATGGATAAGGGATATTTACCAGACAGTGAGGACGCATTGGCAAATATTGACCAAACGCTCGAGGATTTAATTATGTTTACTGAGCTTTTTTTTTTTTCTTTTCCATGATTTTCCTCTTTTTCCATGGAAATAAAAGAGACTGGATTTTCTTCTGACATGAGATGTATTCATTGATTAATTGTAGGATTTTATACTCCAACAGGAATATATTGTTAAAAATCTAAAGCATTTCCCCCTAGTTTAGCATCCTCACTCTATTTGTATAGTATTTAACTAATTGTAGTAGCTATTATGGTCTCTTTAATTTAGTGGCCTGAATTAGGCTTAGAATCGAGAAAATCCATAGTTTAGGTAAGCTAAGTTATACAATAAGTACCTGACTGTGGTTTGTGATGGTTAAGATATCAGGTGAAATAAAAGAATGCAGGTTTCCTGCTTAAAGGAACACTCCAGACACCATAACAACTTATTTGGAATGCCATGAGGTTCCTGGCCCCGGCTTACATTTGGGGGTAAACCATTCACAAACAGTTTATGAAGAATGCTGTACTGTGTGACCTTGAGGAAGAGGCTGTGCCTTAGGATAAACAAAAAGTAGACAAACAGACTAAATTAACATATAGATAGTGGTTGTTAAAATTCTCAATCCTAATCTTTTTATGAATAATTTGAGATAAAGTTTAGGAAGACTATAAAATCGATGGGGTATATTCACCGAAGCCCAAATTGCATTGAATTCAATCCAGATATCATTATTTAGGCAAAAAAAAGCTGATTTATAAATATTATTTAGCTCAGTGATCGTCACAGCTTGACTATTAGCCAGAATTTTTAAATGTGTAGTCTAATTCACTGTTTCGTCAATGTGTTGTAAAAACTCAGTAAAAGCGATTCACTTTGAGGGTTACTCAAACCAAAAAAACAAACAAACAATGTTTGAAGAAATAAATTGATAAATTAAAATAGCTTAAACTCACTCCAGATCTAGCACCAAGGTGAGATTCCCCTCAACCCAATCATTCTCTGTTGACATCACTCCCCCTCGCTTGCCTCGGATGTCAGAGTGGGCGGGCTGAGGGGAGAACAGAGGGGGAGCACGGCATGTTGTGCATTCTGACGACAGCCACCAAACATGCATAGAACTGACATTAGTCAGTCCGAACTTTTATTTCGGACTGGCTAATGATTCCCCAGTGACACGGCCAGAAGGTGGAGTTACACCTCTGACAACAAAGGGGTTCAACTCTGCATGTGCAGTATTTTATAGCGAAATGCTGCACATACATATGTCAATCACCATGAGTACTTCAAATCAGTGAAGGTGTCATGGTACTTCCAGTAATCCTCTAGCTCTGAATTTATGGAACAATAATGGTCAAGATCAGCTATTTTTCCCTCAATTTTCCATTTCCATTTCTAATTTCACTGCAGCAAGTTGGAGCTTAACATCCCATTTAATGTTCCCAAACTGGAGTCTCTCTTGATTATATAAAATTTGCCTCAAATGCACTCAGAATAGTTCAGAAATTGCTTGAGAATTAATTCTTGAACAACTCCCATGCTATTTTCAGAATAAATAGTTAAATATTTGTGTCTGTTGACTTTTGGAGTTCCAAATAACTAAACAGATAAAGAAAAAAATGTAGGCGTCAAGAGTATCCTCGACTGGCTGTGGTATAGTCGCCCCCCCCTCAATGGTCAATTTAATTAACCAGCTGATTAATTAATTACCCCCCTGCCCCCCCCCCTCCCCACACACACACACTTTTCGCACTTTGGGGTTTAGACTTTTTTTTATTATTCCAAAGTCACTACCAACAAGAGCTACTACACTGTTTACCCCCTATCAATGAGGAAGTACCAACTCATATCTCCACAGAAATGTCAAATAATGCAGCCATTTGTTTTTAAGAAAGTCCATAGCACTTTATATTGCACACTACAAACTTCATCCATCAGTTTTGTACAGGCAAAAACAGTTAATATCTCTGGGAGTTTTTTTACTTGAGAAAATTTACTTTAGGATTTTTGTTAAAAGAAAGAATAGACTGTAGAATTTTCGCAGCCTGTTATGTAACCTGGCCTCAACCTTTGACTATTCTGTACATACAAACATATAGTATTTCTTATGAAATAAAAATCACTTTTGGAGTAGTTCTTTATTTAACCAAAAGGCCAAAGAAATTGTCAATTTCAAACCCAACTGAATTTATTGCGCATTTCCTCAGTAAAATATAATTGTTTAGAATGCTATGTGAAAAAGATGATCAAAGTCTTTGTTTTTTCATCTTGATTAAACAGTAAAGCATATGGTCTTATCAGCTACACACCATAGTATCTAGATCCCTGGTGGGGGTCTGTCCCCTCTCATACTCCAGCAAATTTATGCAGGGAGGGAAACAGTCTTCAGTTTGCATATTTCCCCCCCAAATTTTAAAATTTAAATATCTGACAATATTCACCTTTAATGAATAACCCTGTCAGCTTCATAACACAGAAGCACATTCGGATGCGAACATCCCCACATAAAATGTTTTATCTAGGAACCTTTTTAGTCAACATTTGGCATTCTAAAGGTTAACTTGATCAAAATCCTTTATCTCTGCTTGGCTATATACTGGCATCATTGAATGTTGGTCTTTAAAAAGGTGTGTCATCCAACCCATGACAGTTACCATAGAATTTAAGTGATTTTGATTCTGACAGAATTAGTTTGTGTATGTGTGTGTGTTAATGGACCATTCACTGTAAATGTGTATTCAATGTATGCTAATTAAATGTGGTGTGTCTGGTTACATTTTTCTGCAGGCTCCAAAGATTTAAAACAACATTATCAAACTTTTTAACATGGCCACTGGTGATATTGTGTAAGCACTGTGGCTTTACAATAGGACATTAACTGTCCCTTCATTATCTAATCAAAACTTTTCTTTAGATTGCACTCAAACCCTATCTGGAAGGTGAGGGTGTAGAGCCAGGACTGCAGGGGGTTGAAGTAATTGTCTGTTATCTTTTCACAAGTATATTCTGACTGTTTTACCCAAACACCTAATTAACTTCAGTGGACATCAAAAAACAATGTGGTTAAATAAATTAAATTACAATAGGTTGAAAAGCAGTCAATGGCTTGGATAAGGTGTGTCTCTGGGCAAATAGTGGGCTTAAAATGTATATTATTTATCTGCAATTTATACAATGTATTGTGTATTTCTGTCTTTGGTATAGTGAATATTGCATCAAGTAATCAGTAATACATCAAGATATGTCTCATTGTAAGGAAAACAGACTTATGTCATATCTGTAGATAGTGAACGGTGTATTATGGAAAAATAATGCCATTTTAATGATAACAGCTGAAATTGCTTCCACTTCAGACTGTAACTCTCACAAATCTCACGGACTTCCCAGTCCTGCCCTTATAGTAAAGCCCTCCTCTTAAACCAAAGACTTCTCTAGCACATTAAACATTAACCCCTACTATACATTACTATCAGTAAACATTAACCCCTACCCTAAACAGTAACAACTACACTACACTGACAGTAAACATTAACCTCCACACTACCATGTCACATTAACTAAAATAGCTTGATAAATAATGGTGTAGGGTGTGTTGTGAGAAAATAACACTATCTTGGGGGTTCTGGAGACATTTTATAAAGCACTCAAAAGTTGGGCATGATTTTTTTTATGTCTTCAGAATCTCAAAGTTAAAATATTTTCTCATAATACACTTTCATTATTATGTATCCTCAATATATACTGTATATATATATATAAAATGTGTGTCTTTTAGTCATCCCATTGTACAGCGCTGCAGAATTTGTTGGCGTTTTATAAATAATCTATATAAAACACATTATTAATGTGAAATATTAAAATATATATATCATTATTTTACGAGTATAATCAGTCATTTTAGAAAAGCACAACAGAGCAATCTCCGAAACCATTACCTCTTGCCCGTTTGCATTACCAGTGTTAACATTGTAGTTGATATATAGCATTTCACACTTGGGCAGGTGATGGCTAGCTTTGAATAATTTTGCCTTTTTGCTGGGTGAACTCAAGTTCTGTGTGCTTATTAAAATGTTTTATGTGACATTGCAAAGGTCATAGATATCTGTGTGACATTCACATAAACACATGGGATATTTACAGGTAAGTCAGGGAGTTACTAGAGATCATTAAGAAATAGGGCACCATGGTTCATCCTAAAGCTGGTAGAAATGTCATCATTAGCTTGAAGGGAGTCTGTAAAGAGAGGGATTCATGCTGTGGATGTAGAAAGCCCAGAGCAGGGCAGCAAAGTGAGGTAGTTTAATCCTCCCGCACAAAGCTGTAGGAGAAGTTAGCTAATTTGAGTGTGAAAGGGTGAGTTGGAGAAGGGGGGGGAGGGTAGAGAATAAACCCAGAGGGAGGGGGGGAGCAGGGCCTGGGGGCGGTGTTTGTGGTGGGATTCCCTGCAGCATTGCACCCTTTATAGTCCATTGTTAGAGGGTAAAAGGAGAGCACACTGTAGGGAGAAGGGACAGCCTGCAGAGTGTAACCTGAGCTGTGAGAGAGAGCTATCTTCACCCAGGGAGAATCACAAACCCACAGTTACAGGGCTCTGCACCCATTACACATGCCCAGTGCTTGGAGGCTTGGGGTCATTCACTGCATGGACTAGTGCAAGAGGCTGATCCAACCCTCTTTTTTTCTTTTTGGATGATAAACTGCATATTTTTTGTCCCATCACCTTTAAAAACAGCACCCAAGGGTGGCATTCATGCTGGAGATCACGTTTCCCAGTCGCCTGATGGATTGGTGTTGCCCACTGGATTAATATTTTGGGGAGATTGTCTGGCACAGGAGCAGGATATTCAGCGCCTGAAGAAGCCCTTTTGGAGTTTTTGGAGGGATCTTTGCGATCCTTGGATTATCAGTGATTTCGAACGTTCACACCATACTGGACGTTCCAATGAATGGAGAGACAGCTCAGCCTGGGAACTGAGCCCCGAAATCACTAGGTAAGGAATACGGGGTCACATCGCTCTACGCCAGGCGGGCAAGTACATTGGATAGGGTGCGATGGATGTTTAGGGGGAATATGAGAAATACGTACTGTATATATTTCCCAACCAATAACAGCACAACCGAATGTGCTTACAGCGAGGGGGTATGATTTACAGCGATATTCGACACGTGTGCCTGTGTTTATTTTTAATTCGTAGTTTTTGCCTCCACGGGGATTTATTCACTAAACAGTGACTTGTAAGGGAGTGAAAAAAGAATTACAGAATTTTGGTGAAAAAAATAAATAAAAATGCCAAAGTGTCACTTTAGAGGAGTTAAAGATTTTTTTCTTTCTTTCTACAAATCGTTAGGGTTTTTTTGCATAAATTTTGGCAGTTTGTGCTAGATCCCTTCAGTTCCCTGTTTTAGTTCTGTGTGCGGTGAGAGTATCGATCTGTATTCTGAGCGTTGCTATCTGATCACTGTTCTATTTACCCTTTAAAATAGATACTATTGTAGATTGGATATTCACTCTTACTCAAATCGGGTCCACTGTACGTGTGCTTCAAACAGCTATACTGTATCTGTAAAATGTGCATTGGGATAGTGGGATAACTGTCTCAGGGTTGTTGTGAAATGGGGGGTTAGGGATGATCTTATTTCAGTACCCACTGTTTTGAGTCTCCTGATCACTGATGGGTTATATAAGGGTATCCAACACTTTTATGATCATAACACAACCTCTCCAAAGCAATATCTATATTTTGCACCTGCTTTGCAGAGTTAATACACAGGATCTTCCATAATGGAATTTTGGGAATACAATTAAACACAGCTTTTCACTAAAGTCTGTCCTAAATTCAAAGTGAATTAACAAAAATTAGACCAAAAAAGCTGGGTTGAAATTTTCAAATTCACTTTGAATTCCCGACAATTTTAATTTTAGTATAACTCGTGACAGTATTTTAAAATGTGATTTATTTTTATATATATATATATATTGTAGGATCTGTGGGGCAGTGACTGGTCTTTTAGAACTTTCACTATCACTTTTTTTTAAATTTTATTTTTAAATTTACAATTCTTGGAGCAATGTTTTGTGATTTTTAATGTCTAAAAAGTTGGTAAGCATTTTGTGATGTGTGTGTTTTGTTTTTTAAGCAGTCGCGTTTGTGAACTACATTTCCCATGACGTTCAGCCAACCAACCGTGGGAAATGTTCTTCACAAATATCTGTGCAGGGCAAGGTCTGCCCTCAGTTGTGATAGAGGTTAGGCTGTGTGGCCCGGGAAAGGGCGTGTTGTGATATATCTCCTGGTCTGCTCAGGCATTCTAATGACATCTTATCTCTTGTGATTGCAGAGCTGCTCTGTGTAAACTCAGTCTGGTAACATAACTATTCTGTAAATCTATAACCAGGATAGCCTTGGCACACAAAGGCCTTTGTCGTGCTGTGTTCAAAGATTAAGCGGAGCCCCTGGTCCCTGCAGCTAGTTACACATTGATATCCCTTGGAATGTGTATACAGAGCTGGGGAGGGAGGAAGGGATTTGCCCCCCTCCCTTCCTGATATTCATTATTCTCTGTTTATTCTAAGATTCTGGACTAATGGCTCAGAGCCATGCATGGCATTCTAAGGGGACACTACTTTGCACTTTACCATTTGGAAATCACTAATGGTATTGAAGTAAGGAGTGTCTGGTAGTTATGGGCCAAGTCGAGTATAATATTTTTTTATTGCACAAAAAAGGAATGCACACACTGACCTGTGAAATAAAAAATAGTAAACAAAACAATGAAACAAAAAAGAAAAATGAAACATAAAAAGGAATAGTCATTATTTTTTATTTATTTTAACTTCTTGTCTTTTTTTTATATTTATCTTAGCTTGCCTAGTTATCTTCTCTAGTAATACTTACAGTAAACCAATCACTAGTGCTGTCACCATTATTTCGTACGTACACAATTACGCATTTTTCCTTTTGGTTGGAGTCAGGACAGGGCTATAGAGGTTTATTAACATACTTCAGACTTTGGTGTATTACGGATTCTTGTCAACACTGGTAATTTAACAAGTAACCTCTTCAGATGTGGGAAAACGCTTGTGCTTGCTTTTCTGAAATAGATTAAAGTCACTGAAGGCTCAATCAGTTCCAGAACTTGTGTTTAATGGTCTATATGATATATCTGCCCGATGAAAGAATAATTTGACATTTGTATTGCTTTTGTTTTGTCTATATGTGCGGAATTTGTCACTGAGACTTATGCAACATTTTCTATCCTTTTTCTCTAGTGTAAACACCATTTACCCAACCCATTTGATTCCTATTTGATTGAACTATGGCGATCTCTCCCAGGAGCCTCTTGTGTTTCCTGCTTCTTGTCAAATTGGCCTTAAGTATGCCTACAATTCCGGGGGACCAGGCTAATTGGAAAGGTAATGTTTAAACAGCTATGTATTCCTGAATGCTGTAATATTTACTGTTCTATGAGGACAAATAAATGTTGAGGTTGCACTTTTATAAAATTAACTTATCATATAAATCTCTGGAATAATCTTGTACACCAGAACATGGGGGTCATACCCCCAATAGTTGTTTCTTCAGATGAAATTGAGACACGGCATCTATTATTAAGTTGCCCTAACTTATCACTTGTGCCATCAGTCCTCTAGGGACACTCCAAATGGGACCCCTGGTGACATTTAGTATACAGGTGTCTTAGATATTCAGTAACCTGCTGTGTTTGGGGTACAATTAGAGGTCAGAAGTTGACATCCAGGTCAAAATACAAGTTCAGGAGTTTATCATTGGGAGAGGTGTGAAAAATCTCACCTCTCCTGAAGTGTGTCTTCTTCACTCCAAGACCCCAAAAACACACACAAAGTTCAGCTGCTAGGTTAAATAAACTCAAGGATAATTAAGGGGAAAGGGAATATAAGGTGTTAAGGCGACACCTTTATTTTGCTCAAATTTGAATGGCTACTCCTTCATTAGCATTTTAACGATGTGGCATACAATTATGACTGCTGTAAGGGCTGTTAAGATAACTGTTTATATAAAGCATGGCTTCACAGTCTCTGATTTAGTATTACTTTGCACATGCAATGATGTTCAAATTGTATGTATTCCATTTACAGATTTGTTAAAATTATTAATGTTCAGTCCTGTGGTGTACAATTGAATGCTTCAGATATAAGATTCCAATTATAGTATCAGTTGTGTTACTAGTCTTTCTGAATTCTTTTTTTGCATCTTAAATCAGAGTTGTTTCCAAAGTAAATCTAACAAACGTTACTTTTTCATGATCAAATAGTTATTTTTAATATTATAAGATTTGTAATGAAGGTTGTAATTAAAGATGCAAAAGAGACTTAACATAATTAAAACCATACAAAATATATTAAAAAGAAAACAAAGAAACAAATAATGGCATGTACAAATTGTAGTAGTAAAAGATTAATGCTGAATGAGCGTATGGTGAGCTGGCTTGATTACGTTGATAGTGTGTCACTTGCACAGTTTGGAATGATTGAATGCATTCTTAACATATATTCACACTGATACATAACCCATAGGTAACAGATGAAAACAAGCATGTATCAGGGCTTCAACAGTAATGCCACCAACAAGTAATACATTACATTTGTAGCATAGTTTGTTATGTTATATGCTATATGTTTGTGGAAACAAGCTAGTCCATTTATAGTGGTTATAGTGTAACAGTTGGATGAACAGTCCTACAAGTCAGTGTTGTTTTTGTTCTGTTGTTAAAGCATTGTGGCTGTGTTTAAAATGAGAGTTGGCTACAAACATGGTCGCTCATGCTTGCATTCCGTTTGCGTTTGTTCAGAAGATTCTAAGAATTCTCCATCTGAGCTGGAGGAACACCTTCTTCTGGACCCAGGCAATGCATTGCGTCTGTTCTGCGATACCAACCAGAGCAACAGCGTTAACTGGTATCGTGAGCATGAAAGGTTACTCTCTGGAGGAAGAATTAGGATGGTTGGCACTATTCTGGAGGTTTCGGATGTAACATATGAAGATTCAGGACTTTATCTCTGTGTGGTCCGGGGAACTGGCCAAATTCTACGAAAGTTCTCTATATCTGTTGTTGGTAAGTGAACTGACAAAACAGGATTGTTAATGGTTCTGCATTACTTACTACAAGTAATTGAGAAGCATGTCTGAGCTGTTATTTACTAGTGCACACAAGATGTTATTAGACCTTACCACTAATTATACCAGGGATGAAATATATGGCCTTGCGAGCTTATGTGCTTTTGGCTCATAACACATTTTCCTCTACAGATTCATTGGCTTCAGGAGATGATGATGATGATGATGAGGATGGCCATAGAGATGAGGGTGACTTAAATGAAGAACCTGTAAATTTTTTCCAAGGTGAGTGGTCTTCTGTAATTGCTAATAAGGGGTTATCATAACTCTCCACCCTTCCTCCCCTTTCCTCAAAGCTATAAACTATAATTCCCTGTTTTGGGCAGTCTGGATCTTAAGTTCTCCACATACCAAAGAACAGGCTGCTTGTGATGTCCTGTACATTTAGAAAAGACCTGTGACCTATGCCCTGGGGTTAGGAGATAAACAGAACAGACCTGACTTTTACTCTAAATGATAATGTGACATCAGTCTTGAGTGGATTTTTACAGAATGCAATCATTGCCTAAATGTAAATACAAATTGCGACATTGGGAAGCTGATCAATTTAATGTTCTACTTGAGAACACAGGAGGAACAGGAAGCCTGTAAAGACAATGAATGCATTCAATTATTGATTCAATGTAACACTTATAACTATGAAAGAACACTTTAATATCACCTTGTAGACAGGAAGCCAATATTGTATCCAAACAACAGCATGGGCACAACTAAAGGTTCAAATTGGATTACGGAGGACACGTGCATTGCTACAATAACATGGAGGAAGAAAGTGTAAATCAGATTAGTGTAATGTAATGGCCATTGACAAATCTAAATCTCTTTGCTTTCAGCTCCTTACTGGACCCAGCCCCAGCGCATGGACAAGAAGCTGCATGCTGTACCTGCTGGGAACACAGTAAAATTTCGCTGTCCCGCTGCTGGGAGTCCAATTCCTACTATCCGATGGTCAAAAAACGGTCGTGAATTCCGAGGAGAGCATAGAATTGGAGGGATCCAAGTAAGTTTTCACCATCCAGTGGCATATATGTCAATAATTAGCCGCATAGTAAAATAAAATCCCTCTAAAGGATGGATGGAATGTTTTGTAATCTGATATTCCTATAATATGGTCAGTTCAGCCGACATTTACGCTTAGTGTCAGTATAAATATGTGTCCATGTAACTTTTGGAATATGGACCTCATACTATCATTTTACTTTCTTATTGTTATATATATATTTATTTTACCAATTGTTACTTAATATTAATCAGGCAGATGTCTTAGAAGAGTGGCATCAGTAGTTTGATATGCCGATAGACCTAATTGAAACATATATGTCTTTTTGTTCATAAACAGTTGTTATCCCTTTTATCTATAGCTGCGGCATCAGCATTGGAGTCTCGTCATGGAGAGCGTGGTACCATCTGACCGTGGGAACTACACCTGTGTGGTAGAGAATAGAATGGGCAGCATTAGCTACACCTATTTATTAGATGTACTTGGTAAGTTGTTGTTTTTTTTTTTGTTTTTTTTTTCAAAGCAAATTATCCAAATTATTGTTATCTATCTGAAGCGTGAAAGAGCTAATAACTAAAAAAGGTTTTCACTGAGCTGCAAAATCAAAGTAAATTTCAAATTTAAGGCCAGAGTAGCCAAACTGAAAGGAGAACTGACTTAGAGAATGTTTTCCAGTCTGACTACTTTAAACTAAAATCTGACATTTACTTTCACCTTGAATTCTCACTTTAGAATGAAAAAATAATTAACATTTAAATTGATTTTTATTTCATAATTAATTTTAAAAGATACATTCAACTTTTACTAATCAAAGGAAGTTGTCATCAGCAGTTTTATTGAGAGACACTAATTTTCGCATGAATTTGAGAGAGAAGGACTTTTCTATACTGTCTGTACTAACAATCTGCTCAATGCACACCCTGATTCTGTCAAAACACCAGCTAATCCACTGTAAGCCAGGCTTTTATGTTAAAAAGTATATGGCCATTTTTGTTTTACAATTCTAAGTGCACGAGGCTTGTTATTTACTGGTCAGATTTTGTAGCTAGTCAGACAAAGAAGCTGCTTTTCTGCACTGTACATTGTCGTCAGTACTGTGAGTTAATCACAGAGTAGGTTTTCAGTAATGGGGCAAACAGGCAGACCGGCAAGTGAGGACAGGAATTGGTGGCGTCCCAAAATATTTTATGGTCTCCCTGCTCAGACCATCTGAGACTTCAAAGTCATTAAAATACTGTCAAGGCCATAAAACTATTAAGGGTCATTATGTTCTCTGCAGCCACAGGCTGCTCTTCTGTTAGTCAGCAGAACCCTCAGTGTAAATGATCTGTGTGGTATTTGAGATGCTGTCTTAACACAGTAGTTTTTTATGGATGGTCATTTTATACATTTTTTGCTGTGGTAATAATACAATCATTAGATTTGTAGGGGCTCTCATTATGAGACTTGGATGACAAAAATCAAACTGAATACTGACAGTTAAATTTGTTACCAAATTGCACCCCATTCCTTCTAGCATGTAAGCTAATTGAGCAGGGCCCTCAAACCCTCTGTTCCTGTGCGTCCATTTGTCTAGTTACAATTACGTGTCTGTGTTAGTCCACCCATTGTACAGCGCTATGGTATTGGTTGGTGCTATATAAATAATAAAATAATAAGAATAATGAAACTTTCTTGTAGGCAATCATGACTTAAAATATTTGGAAGAGGCTTTAATGTTCTGATGTTTTGTTCTACCTGTTATCAAAATAGGCATATGCTTATTCTGGTTCATCTATTAGTATGCTAAGTCTTTTAAATCTTATTTGAATCCTTTGAAATAAATAGTAGAATGTTCAGAATGCAACAGAAAATATGAGTTACCAAAGAAAACTTGCAAACTTTAGTGATAATTGTGGACAGCAAACACAAGCGGAAATCAATGCTTGGCTTATATCCCATGGACAGAAAATAATGGGTTATAAGCACCAATTTGGGAACAATCTAGAACATTCCATAATGTTCTTGCTGATGTATCCAATTTAACACTCTCCCCTAGAATTCTGATAAACATGGTCTAGAGTCTGATTTAAAAGGCAGATATGGAGTTGCAGACTCCACCAGACAAATGCACGTGATATATCTATCCTTTCCCATGTGTTGTGTGTTTACAAAGAAAATTCTACAGGCAACTTATTTTCTTAACAACATTCTATATTTTTAATTACAGAAAGGTCATCTCACCGACCGATATTGCAGGCTGGACTACCAGCTAACACCACGGTTCGTGTAGGCAGTAATGTTGACTTCTACTGCAAGGTGTACAGTGACGCCCAACCACATATCCAATGGCTCAAGCATATTGAAATTAATGGAAGCCGTTTTGGGCCCGATGACGCACCTTATGTGCAAGTACTGAAGGTAAAGACTCTACATAATCTCCTGAAAATTATCTTTTTCCTTTATATTTTTTTAAAAAAAACAATATTATTTTTTCATTTTAATAATGTTAATTTACTGGTGAATTCTACAGTTTAACATTGCCCTATAAATAATACCTCACCATTACGCTTTCCTGAGTTGCTCCTTTGTGGCTATTTTCAGACTGCGGATATTAACACTTCAGAGGTAGAAGTGTTGCAACTGCGCAATGTCTCTATGGAAGATGCAGGAGAGTACACCTGCTTGGCAGGAAATTCAATTGGACTGTCTTATCAGTCTGCCTGGCTGACCGTACTACCAGGTAATTGCAAAGACAATTGTTCCTATAGACTTAATGCCTACTGCCTTGATTATTTCTGATATTTAATAGCCTGTGCTATTAGAAATGTAATATTTCCCTGTATGCTGAAATACAGGATACCCTTGGTAGGTGAAGGAAAAGGCAGTGAAGTGGTTGTGAGTGATGACGTACATACCAATAGACCAAAAGACATATCAAAGCATAAATTAATCCAAGAGAGCATTTTTTTTTTTCAATTATACGGTGTATGTTACATAGGGTAACAAAAAATTTGTATTAATTGGAACTGTGTTTGGTTAATTTAGGAAAAATAGAATTGGGTGTAATATTTGTATTTGTTGTTGAGGTTACTAAGCAGTATCACATAACGACTAATATTTCAGAGTATGTAATTATTACTAGTGAGCCTGTGTTGAGGGGAAATGATTAAGGATATTAAATTTCAATTTAAGGCAATTTATTTTCTAGTGACACTAGCTCCGCTAGTTGTTACGAGGCTTAGTTGTAGCAGCGGAACCTAAGTTGACTTGGTTGCTTGTTAAGAAATTCCAAATAGCATGTTTCTAAGAGAAACATCATTTGATTCATGTAACACAATTCTTTGTTGTGGGATGGATAGTATCACTCAGCTATATAATAAAAATTAGTCATTAACTAGAAGAGATCCAGCGCAGTAATATTATTGAGGCAATTAACAGAGCACATCTGTGCAAGCAGCTTTGGCTTTGCCATCCCAGACATGGGCCATTTCTGAACAGATGTGTGTGGTGGAATGGGAAGAACAGATGGGAATTGGTGAGAGAGGAAAAGCATAAAGGCAGGTCAAGGTCACAGATGTAACAATGACCCTGGTCTTAACTTCCTTCCCCCCCAACAGAGGAAGCTTTCTTGGAGGAGGCTGAGCCTGCAGAGTCTAGATACATGGACATCATTATATACACCTCTGGATTTCTGGCTGTGGCAATGGCAGTCGTTATTGTGATTTTGTGCCGCATGCAAATGACACACAATAAACAGCCACCTACTATCCACAAATTGTCAAAGTTCCCCTTAATGAGACAGGTAAGTGTCCTCCGATGTGATGAATTTCTCTAATAACAGTCAATCACTTTTACTTTGCTCAGTGTGTCTTGTCCACTGATTTATTTAAGTATTGAAAACATCTATAAATTTATAAATAAGTATGGCAGAGATTTAGGGATTGTGTTGCATTCTGCTGCAAATGGATGACATTAGCTGACTTGTGTAGAAATATACTCTGATCACAGAATATCTCTTATATATTTTGTAGGCATCTATTTCTGTTTTCTATGTAATGAAATTTTCTGGTACATCATTATTTGGTGGTACATTTCTAACAATTATATGTGTATGTGTCCCTAGTTCTCACTGGAATCCAGCTCCTCTGGAAAGTCTAGTGCCCCTCTCATCCGAATTACCCGACTCTCTTCAAGCTGTGCCCCAATGCTCCCAGGTGTCATGGAAGTTGAGCTACCCCTGGATCCCAAATGGGAATTCCCCCGAGACAGGTCAGTATTTGAACTCACATATATGCTCAGTGAATATCCTGTGTGTCTATTGCTTAAAGTGATTGTTATCTCTTCAGACAAAGGATATTTTATTTCTGTTTTTAAAAATATTTTATATTCTTTATTTTTGCTGTGCAAAATGAAGTACAAACATGTCTGCGATGCCACGATAGCAATAACAGACAATTCAACACTTACATTGTCATGACATAAGATTAAGATGCACATTTATTTAAATTAATAAACAGGATAATGCTAATTATGTCAGCAGATTAGTAAATATGAGACTAATGAAAGGTTGTGTAGACTGACATTTTGCCTCAGTAGAGTAACAAGTGTGAGATGCAATTATAGTGATGCATCCTGAAAAAATTGAAAACCGGTAACAGGAGTCCACCACATTGTAGTTAAAGTAGGAGAAAGCCTATATAAGCAGGTTGCCAGGGTGTGCTTCAGGCTTCATCCGATGCCCAACGTGCTAGGAGAGTGTTTGGCTCTGTGAGGAAGATTCCATATGGGTAAGTGTAAGTGGCGCGGGGGCATAGAGTAGAGGTCTGCGGTCGGGTGCCATATCTCCTTTCTGGTGCAGCAGCCATATTGAGGGGTCAAGAGGTGTAATGCCCCAGGCCTACGAATTGCAGCTAGAGTCAGGACTGCTGCAGGCTCTGTTCCAGGTCCCGAGGGGTGAGTGATGCTGTGCTGCCTTGGCATCCGCTGTGTGGGTTCAGGCTGACCAGGTGGTCTTGAGGTTGATGCAGATTGAAGCAGGTAGGAGGGCTGAGTTGGGGTGTAGAAGATCTGTGGTCGGGGTGTCAGGGCAAACTGCCTCCTTGCCTCGATAGTGGCCCAGAATTTTGCTCCAGAAAGATATGATCCAGTTTAGCCAGGGTTGTGGCATTATGGGTCTCTGCATAACATCTGATTGCAGTTGCCGCCATTGTAGAAGCCTTGTGGCGCCCCTGTATACTGCAGGCTAAGTTGTTGGGAGTAGCAGTGAGGGATCTCCTGGGACTGGGATGACCCCCGTCGGTCCAAAAGGGGAGGGAACTGAAGTGTGCGCTGTGAAGTAGGACGTGGTGTCCGGAGAGCGGCCATCCCTCTGATGCCTGTCCAGCTTGTAGGCCACAAATTGTGAGATGTAGGTTTCCTGGAACAGTACAGCACCGAGTTTGGTACCGTACGAATCAGCAGGATCCCCACTATCTGGTGAGTTGCGTTTTACGTTGATAATAGCAGGTTGGCAGGTGTATAAAGTAGATTAGGCAGTTTGTGCTCAGGAGCTTGTCAAACCTGCGTCTGCTCTGCTTGCCAGTCAGGCTCTGCCCCCCGACAAAGGATATTTTCATTTGGAATATTCGTGATCATCCTGTGGATTCATAACACAAACTTCTTTGTAACCTTCTTTAGATGGTTTATAATTTAATCTTGAATCTATTGCTCTTGTTTTGTACATACATTAACAGTAAATATGTATTTGTCCACTTCAGGCTAGTTCTTGGAAAACCCCTTGGCGAAGGCTGCTTCGGACAGGTAGTGAGAGCAGAGGCATATGGGATTGACAGAGATCGACCCGATAAGCCGGTTACTGTTGCAGTAAAGATGCTCAAGGGTAAGTTTTTCTGTTGGGTTACTACAAATATTCACCAGTTCATCATTAAAACAAAAAAAACAATATGTGTTATATACATAACGGTGTTATGTAGGATAACATGGATTTCATCATGCTACATATTATAATAATTATTATTTCATTAGTATGTTGTTTTTGCCCCCAAGGGTTTTATATATATTGAAAGCTTGTTAATAAATAATACTAATTTTAATTACAGTTATTTTGTTGACCTGCTTAATAATAGAACCCACCAGTAGATTGTTTGAAGAGTCTGTATAGCTGGCAGTTGTATTATTAAGGGACTGGTAGGAGGGTACAGTCTCAAAAGATAAATCACAGAAATCAATTTAGCCCAAATCTTGCTTACCCCATACACCCCATACAAATTTAGTTTGGACAAATAATGCTAACGTTACCACCAAGTGAGGCAAAGGAAGAGATTTGGATGTGGAGAGATCCTCTGATTTATGTCACGTTGCTTACAAATTATTTTAATAGTCACTCATTTTTTTGTACCATAACTACTACAATAAGCTGTAAACATTATTCTAATTATTCAATCCTATATATTCATGTAATGTACTTAAAGTGGCTCTGTCATCATCTGGGATCTTTGCATAATTTGCAAAGACCCTAGATGGTGACATTGATGCTGGGAATCTGGTGGCCATGGGGGGAGGGAAGGTTTTACTTAGCTGAAACTGTCATACACAGGCGCCGCCATGATCTTCCATCCGGTCTACGTTGTCGTAGGATCCGTTATCAGCACTTGAGGTCTATTGAGGAGCCCACGAGACCCTCAGTAGAAAGAGGTTTTTCTTCCCAACAGCCGTCAATAATGACAGCTGGGGATATGACAAACTTGACAAAAGCTCCCCGTTTTCTCAAGCTTGTCAAGCATAGGAAAAATACTAAGACAAAGTAGTGTCTACTTTGTCTCAGTATATCTTTTGATACATTCTTGGTAACATCACTCCCTGTTATTTAGCCATTATTGTCCTAGGTCGTGTGCCACAATAAGCTGGCATCACATTTTATGATGGCAGACTTATTACAGCATGTATGCCAGGTATGTTGCAACCCATTCGTTCCTGGTCCAAGGACAGTGGAAAATAACCTTGTGTTTTGCAAGGGACACATTGAGTAAATGTTACAACAACAGGAAGATATTTAATGCACTTAGAGGTGAATTACTGTGTGTTACGAGTTTAATACAGAATCCATTTTAAGATTTACCTTAATGAATACGTTTTTAGAAATGACTCACGAACATCTATAAAATAGAAGGAATATTTGTTTATGTAATTAGCATATTATCTAATTGAGTAGTTTTGGTGCATTGTTATTGGACTTTTTGTCACTGGTCCCAATACAAAAAAGCTGTCAGTCATCTTATCTTGGCTGCTAAATAATTCTTGAACTAAGCTGACACATTTTACAGTTTTTTTCTTCATTCTTTATTGCTTGTGTACTGAACGTTTCTCCTGTGTAATCTAGATAACGGTACCGACAAGGACCTATCAGATCTCGTCTCTGAAATGGAATTAATGAAGATGATTGGAAAACACAAGAATATAATCAACCTACTCGGTGTTTGCACACAGGAAGGTGAGTAAGAAACAGGATGGAAAGTAACAGTGAGAAGGGGATGGTGAGAGAGGATTTGGTAGCCACAATGTGATGTTTGTAAGGAGCACCCAGGAACCAAAGATGCTCTAAAACCTAAAGGCGTCATACGTTGAGTGTGATCCTAGGTAGCTATGATGGCAAGATATAACCCACAAACTCTATAACATGTTTATAGGATTTTTTTCTTAAACTTTTTGCCAAAAAAAACTAGCTGGAAGAATTTATGCTGCAGAAACGCAATTAATGGCCAAATCTTGTCTTGGTACTTATTCTAGTTTGTCAGCTTGTCAAAGCAGTGCCCTCACCTATTCTTGTTCCCATTCACCTAAATAGTCCAGATTTTATTTTGACAGATCTATAGATGTGGTCATAAACGTTATAACCATAATGTAATTTAGCTTAAATCTTCCTTTTCTTTCTTCAGGGCCAGTCTTTGTTGTTGTTGAATATGCTTCCAAAGGAAACCTGCGAGAATTTCTGCGTGCACGCCGTCCTCCCACACCAGAAGATGCCTTCGATGTCACCAAAGTGCCTGAAGAGCTGCTTTCCTTTAAAGATCTTGTGTCATGTGCCTACCAAATTGCCCGTGGAATGGAGTATCTCGAATCCAAGAAGGTAAGCAGCAGTGTGTCACAAACTGGATTATTTTCTACTACTTCTTTCTTACTCCAACCACTCTGACCACTTCAGTGGTAGGAGTCGGTATGTCAGGTGGTAGGAGTCAGTATGTGCAGTGTTTCAATTTGGAACACTGCACATACTGAGATATTCTTAATTGTGTGTTGAGGGCTAGTTGCAACCCCAGCAACTAGCCCTAGGGGTATTCCTTCCTGCTTACCTGTGTTGCTTATTTTTTATTTTATTTTTTTAAATAAACCCTCCCTATTCTTTCCCTCCACCTCCCACCCTCCCCTCAGCAGTGCGGAGCGCCCGCATGCACTCTGAGCCTGGGAATTGGTCCCATCACAGGCTTCTTTATCATAATCTTGTGATTAAACTGCGCGTGGCCACAGTGACGTAAGGTAGGGGGAACATCACCACAATGCCAAATAGGACATATTACATCTGATAGGTCCCCCTCTCAAAAGGGTTTTAGTAAACATTTAATGTAAACATATTAAATGAATAATAATACTTAACTCATAGTGGAAAAATGGGCATGTGGCAACCAAGAAAAAAACAAATTTTTTTTTTCCAGCTGTTGCAACTGTATCCCAAAGAGTTATTACAATTGACTCAAGCAGGTTGCAGCATTTCTGCAGTAATAACCTTTCAGAGAACATAATGGCTTCAGCTGAGTCAAGAAGTATTTCCTGAAAACTAAAGGATTCACAACACATTAAGAAAAGTGATTTTTAGTATTTAGTAGCTACAATAAAATTATTTATCATGCTGTGCAAACAGGATTTCTTATCCTATTGTACAGCACTACAGAATTTGCTGGTGCTATATAAATAATAAAATAATAATAACTGGATAGATTATTTTAATTTCCATGAAAAATTCTCTTGAATTTGTCTGGCGCCATTATCTGTGAAGTATTGCCAGTTATTTTATGTTATTTGCGTTCAAGGACAAAACAGAAAGGCAGTCCAGATGAAAGTTAAATGACCAGGAAGAGTGTTGATTTAACAAAGTATTACAGTTCTACTGGGAATCTTGCAGACTCTGTAAATAACGTTTTATCTCCCCGCAGTGCATACACCGGGATTTAGCAGCTAGAAATGTCCTCGTGGCTGAGGATAACGTGATCAAGATTGCAGACTTTGGGCTGGCTCGAGGAGTGCATGACCTGGATTACTACAAGAAGACCAGCAATGTAAGTTCGAGTGAAGATTTTGGCTTCATTTTAAATCGTTTGACTGAATTCATGTTAGAGGAACCTACTCAAGAATGAAATGAGCTCTTATGATCTGCTGATTATCTGTGTAATAACTTGATGAAATTACCTTATTCTACCTGTGTGGATCATGTTGTGTATTTTTATGTATTTATGGCTTGTGCTTTGGTTTTTTTGAAACAGGGTCGTTTGCCTGTAAAATGGATGGCCCCAGAAGCACTGTTTGATAGGGTCTACACGCACCAGAGTGATATGTAAGTACACTTTATTGCAGTAGGAAACTGATCTTTAAGATTTTGTATAGCATACATATAACTGCTTGTACAATTATACTGAAATGGTTAGCCATGCAGAACTGCCTCTTACTGTTTGTACTGTTCAGTCTCATTAACGTTCATGATTTAGCGTTGTAGTATTTCACAACTTTCATTTCACAACTTTAGTTAAAACTTTTCTACCTAATGCCTGTCTAATGAGATTAAATGGCTTTCTCATCAGACAGGCATTAGGTAAGTGCTTCTATAGGCAATCAATTCCCAGCAGCCATGGTCACTTATCAATATTGTTTATAAAGCACACGTATATTCTGAAAGGGTTTACTTATACTAATTACATTTTATTTTTATAATAAGACTGTCATAGTGTCATGTGTGCAGCTGTTTTAGTAGCAGACAAATGTTATTGCTGAGTTCTTGTAGTGGAATATGCAATTCATATAAGAAATCCGAATTCATAGAGTGGACACAGAGAATCGGTTTAAAATATGCTTTATCTAAAAAGTGTATATGCTCAGTGTGTGCCAGCATCACTCGTCCGGGTATATTGTCATTATTTAACTAACAGAATTGAATATTCCGAGGTAGTGACACAAATGGGAGTATGACTAAAGCATTTATGCAGATTACTTTGATTGTCCATTAAATTATTTATCGCAACTTCATGGTTAATAGTCTAGCCACAGATTGTGGGGAAGATAATAGTATTTTGATTCTATGCAGATTATTCCACACAGCTTGTCACAGTAACAGCTGTTTGTTAAATGTATGCATATGATATGGATAAACGCTCATTCATATACACACCGTGCCCCTAAAAGGGAGCTCTTTCAGGTAAACTATCCATTAGTGAACTATTCCCCTTTGCTTCACATTGTTCAGGTGTCACCTGCTTCATATGTTGTTTGTACAACTATGTTCAACTGTATGATTCTTTCGTGACCTCATCTGCACACTTGGCAGCGAGCTGTAGTGTGTTGATAACAAATTTACTAAATGTACAGGGAGTGCAGAATTATTAGGCAAATGAGTATTTTGACCACATCATCCTCTTTATGCATGTTGTCTTACTCCAAGCTGTATAGGCTCGAAAGCCTACTACCAATTAAGCATATTAGGTGATGTGCATCTCTGTAATGAGAAGGGGTGTGGTCTAATGACATCAACACCCTATATCAGGTGTGCATAATTATTAGGCAACTTCCTTTCCTTTGGCAAAATGGGTCAAAAGAAGGACTTGACAGGCTCAGAAAAGTCAAAAATAGTGAGATATCTTGCAGAGGGATGCAGCACTCTTAAAATTGCAAAGCTTCTGAAGCGTGATCATCGAACAATCAAGCGTTTCATTCAAAATAGTCAACAGGGTCGCAAGAAGCGTGTGGAAAAACCAAGGCGCAAAATAACTGCCCATGAATTGAGAAAAGTCAAGCGTGCAGCTGCCACGATGCCACTTGCCACCAGTTTGGCCATATTTCAGAGCTGCAACATCACTGGAGTGCCCAAAAGCACAAGGTGTGCAATACTCAGAGACATGGCCAAGGTAAGAAAGGCTGAAAGACGACCACCACTGAACAAGACACACAAGCTGAAACGTCAAGACTGGGCCAAGAAATATCTCAAGACTGATTTTTCTAAGGTTTTATGGACTGATGAAATGAGAGTGAGTCTTGATGGGCCAGATGGATGGGCCCGTGGCTGGATTGGTAAAGGGCAGAGAGCTCCAGTCCGACTCAGACGCCAGCAAGGTGGAGGTGGAGTACTGGTTTGGGCTGGTATCATCAAAGATGAGCTTGTGGGGCCTTTTCGGGTTGAGGATGGAGTCAAGCTCAACTCCCAGTCCTACTGCCAGTTCCTGGAAGACACCTTCTTCAAGCAGTGGTACAGGAAGAAGTCTGCATCCTTCAAGAAAAACATGATTTTCATGCAGGACAATGCTCCATCACACGCGTCCAAGTACTCCACAGCGTGGCTGGCAAGAAAGGGTATAAAAGAAGAAAATCTAATGACATGGCCTCCTTGTTCACTGATCTGAACCCCATTGAGAACCTGTGGTCCATCATCAAATGTGAGATTTACAAGGAGGGAAAACAGTACACCTCTCTGAACAGTGTCTGGGAGGCTGTGGTTGCTGCTGCACGCAATGTTGATGGTGAACAGATCAAAACACTGACAGAATCCATGGATGGCAGGCTTTTGAGTGTCCTTGCAAAGAAAGGTGGCTATATTGGTCACTGATTTGTTTTTGTTTTGTTTTTGAATGTCAGAAATGTATATTTGTGAATGTTGAGATGTTATATTGGTTTCACTGGTAATAATAAATAATTGAAATGGGTATATATTTGTTTTTTGTTAAGTTGCCTAATAATTATGCACAGTAATAGTCACCTGCACACACAGATATCCCCCTAACATAGCTATAACTAAAAACAAACTAAAAACTACTTCCAAAAATATTCAGCTTTGATATTAATGAGTTTTTGGGTTCATTGAGAACATGGTTGTTGTTCAATAATAAAATTAATCCTCAAAAATACAACTTGCCTAATAATTCTGCACTCCCTGTATAAGATAGCAGCTCATCTAGAAAGACAGAACGCTGAATTTAATATATTTTTTTCACTAACTCCTTTTTTAACTTTGGTTTGTTCTCAACCTCCCACAACCAGTTTTTTAGTAACCCAAAATTAGATACTGTACAACTGAGTAGATTGCATATAGAGAGTGTTGGTTTGTTTCAGCCCTGTGATTCATGTCCTAATTGATTTTTAACTAATTGCTGCAGCTGGTCATTCGGTATTTTAACATGGGAGATATTCACTCTTGGAGGCTCTCCATATCCCGGAATTCCAGTGGAAGAGTTATTTAAACTCCTTAGAGAAGGTCATCGAATGGACAAACCATCCAACTGCACCCATGAGCTGTAAGTATATTGTAGTCAATGTCGGATGTTTGACTTTTTGGGATTGCAGTGCAGTTGCCATTGAAAAGTGGTTTGGTGGCCCTTTAGCCCACTTAGTAGCCACATTTCTGGCTAACACATAAAACAGAGTTTCAACCTGTGCCCTCTCCCCCAACACTGCTGCTGTAAACCGACAACTACAATTATTCAAGAATTAGTTGTAAAAGCACAATCATTCTTAATAGACATTTTGTATTCTTATGCTAATTCATTGCCAATTGATGTTTGACACCCTACGTAATAGTTTCAGATATACATGTTAGGTAGCCCTGCTCAGCGTTCTGCACATCTCTTAATGGATGGTTTTACCAATTTTATAACCTTCACCTTTTTAGGTACATGCTGATGAGAGAGTGCTGGCATGCCGTTCCATCCCAGAGACCCACCTTCAAACAACTGGTGGAACATCTGGACAGGATCCTGGTAGCTGTGTCAGAGGAGGTAAGAAACAATTTAAAATTAATTGGTGAATGCCACATTACAAAATGTGTCTAATTTACACAAAATCCTCTTGTTATTTAGAGTCTGTTAACTGTTAGAACTGTTATCTTTGGCCCTATCTGTCTGTAGCGTGGTTTCATTATTGTATTAATTCATTATTTAGTGTTCAATTATAATATTTTTTATTTAAAGTATTACATCAGTCTGTAGATCTGTTACCATAGACTTCCCAAGCTTAAATCCATCTCAATGTTTTCAAATAATACTAAATACCAGTGTTCAAAATTTCAACTAGACTTTGAATGGTGCAGAGTTAGCCCTGGTGAGTGTGACATGGCACTTGCGATGAGTAGTAGCGGAGAACACAAAATGTTAATATTCCAAGTCCTCCACTATTATTCACTGCAGGCCCTCTATAAACTGTGATCTAGAAAGTTATGGAAAAGTAGATTTTTTTTCATTAGCTAATATTTTTGTTCAAATAACTCACTACATTGTCTCTCTCCTTTATAGTACCTGGATTTATCTATGCCTTTTGAACAGTATTCTCCAGCCTGTGAAGACACCGCAAGCACATGCTCCTCTTCAGATGACTCCGTGTTTTCCCACGATCCTGAGCCAACACCTCCCTGTGTCTTCAATTACCACAATGTTCCCGCTCTATCTGTTCAAATGGGGACATGAGACCAAAGACTGCACGGGTACCCTAATGGGGAGGGCATATGAACATTTTGATACTTTTAATATTCCTCCACTTAGTAGGAACCTAATTTATTGAAAAGACAACCTGTGTCTGGTTTACTAGACTGCGGGGTGAAATAAAATCTGTGCTGGTTTTCTGTCTTGCTGAGGAGAAACTTGAAATGTCTCAATCCCACCAGCGTACAGGATGCAAAGCACTTGGAGCCTCCCGACTGGCTCTGTTTATGATCACAGAGGTCATGTCTGCCACCAACTATGAGAGGGAACATATTGCCTTATTCTGAAATCCCATTCTATGGATTTGATGGACTGCAGCTGGTGGTGATACAATCCCCAGACCTCTCTCAAAAGTCATACAAAAGAACAGTAATGCACTGTGATGCCACCAGCCTATATATCTGAGAAATAGACCTTCCGGTTAAAGGAATTCTTGCGATCTCAACTTTTGTAATTCATGGTCTTACAATTGACCATAAAGTGCCTGGAGTTTGTATTAATGCCTGTATATATTTTCTAAAAAAAAAAAAAAAGAGATATTTATGTACTTTTCAGATACATAGGTCATTTAAACATTTATTTTAATGGTGAAAGAGAGGGTTAATTTCTAAAGAATTTTAGCCTCCTTGAATTGGTTACTCTTCTTCCGTCAGTCAAATAATTTATCCTTGTTGGTTTTTTTTTTGTTTATGTTACGGTACATTGGACTCAGAACCTTTTACAATCAATCTGTTGTAAAATGCTTTTATACACTATAGATATATTTAAAACAGAATAATGTTGCTATTTTGCAATTTACCAAACATTTTCATATGTCATTTTGATTTATTTTATATATTGTAAAAAAAGTTACTTTTAATATAAAGACCTAAATTATATGGAAAAACAAAAATCATCATCATGGGCTCATGTCTTTTATACCTGATACCTTATATTATTATGCAGGCAGGCAAGGTTTGAAAGTTAATAGGCTATGGAACAGTTTACAATTATTTGCAAATATATAGCGCTCATATATTCTATGATTCTTTACAATTTCATTATGCACATATAACTGCAAATATGATACAGACTATTACAAATGTTAAGAAAAGCAAGAGGTTAACGAGGAAAATCCAAAGATATGATGATAGCATGATAATTTAAATGATCATTTATTTGCTTAATACTAAGCCCTCTCTTCTTGTATTGTGGCTTCTGTGGTGTGGGGGAACTTGGGTTGGGCACTTCTGAATTTAAAAATGGAAAAAAAGGTTCCAAAGATGAGCAGTTCCGAGTGATCTATGAAAATGAAAAATAGCATGGGCAAAAGTTAAGAAAAGTGTTGGTTAATCAATAATCTTCAAAGTATCAGTTCTTTGGTTTAAGATCACCCACAGAGAGGTGGATGATTAATCTGAAGACCCTTTTAAAATAAGCTGGGGCTTCTCTTTGGTCTTCCTGCAGCCCAGAGCACAGGGAGAGGCTTAAAACTGCCCTGAAGCTCCCTCTGACCATTCAAAGTGGACTGTCATTGTGAAACAGATTTTACTGAATACCTAGCGAGACAGTGACTGTCCTTGGGGGGAAAAGGCAAGGATTCTCCAAATGTTCCATTGTCTTATGTCCAGAATGCTTCTTCAGGTAGCCTAGAGAGTCTGTTACTCATTATCTGATGCTGTACCTCCCACCAGCTTCTTAATCCTGAAGAAGGGAGCATTCAAACTTTCTGGATTTCCATTTGTGCAGGATTAATGATTTACTAAGAAACATTTCTTGTGTAAATTTGTTTGCCAAAAAGAAAATGAGAGAAGATGTTACTACTGCACTCGGAGTAATTTTCTTTGCCAATGTTTAATGTCATCTTGCACAAAAGCAAATTTTCCCATGCCTCCTGCAAACCTATTGTAGACTTGATGTTTTCTGTGAAGCATTCTTTTAAAATAGCACACTTTCTGAAATTAAAATTCAATATTAATTCTGCCAAGATGCACAGGCTTCCTTTATACTTATATGAAATGCTAATGCAGAGCCATGATCTAGAAGTAAAGTGCACTTTTCAGCAAAAAACCTTGGATAGAGTGGGCAGTGAGGTCTAATTTTCCTTCATGTTTGACCTGTGATTCCGTCAAGACTGCTTGCTAATTTCTGAACTGTCAGGAATTCAAAGCAAATTTAAAACTCTAGGTAAAAAAATTAGCTTATTTCAAACAAAAATCTCCATATCCGCTTAATTCCAATTAAACAGTATTTTTATAAAAGTAACCAATACAGAACAAAAATAACATTATGCTAAAAAGGTTTTAACTACTCATTGAAAAACCTGTTTTTTATTTGTTTTTGTTTTTTTTAAACACTTCAATTAGGCATCTACGATGGGGGAAGGGGTATATTATGGGTTTATTTTGTGCTAACAAAGATCTTTTAATTTTTTTGTAGTAATTTTTATAAATGTATTTATATTTTCTTGTTGTTTATATAACTTTATATTTTCCGTTTTTAAAAGATTCATGTGAGATTTTAGTATAAAAGTCTAATATAGTGTTAAACGTTTTTATTAATTATGTTTAACCTAAATACATCTTTTAAAAAAAAAAAAAAAACATTTCTAGCATAATGAACAATAGTTCCCTGGACATATATACCACCCAAATTACCTTTTATTTGGCAGCAGGGAACTGTTTGTTCGTCTGAGACCCATTTAACTGACAATGCAATCTGACTCAAAAGCAATGGGCTATCTAAATTAACCTTGCACAAAGTTTAATTAGATGCACAACCCCCAACCATTTGCCAGAGATTTGGATGAGCCCAGTGGGTAAGGTCAAAGAACCATTTACATATTAACATTTACAGACCAACTAGCAATTCTTTGCTTAATGCATTCTTTGATATGTTTTATAATATACATAAACATAGAAGAGACTGCACTGACTCACTAAACACCAGCTTAAAAGCTCACAAAATTTATAAAGGATTTAAATTTTACTCGCACATAGATATATGAAACTGTGGTTTTGCACCCCTCCCTGTCACAGATGCCATATTCCAGGGCCCTATTTAACCTTGCCCTGCCAAGAACCCCAGAAGGATGGGTTAATTTCATAAGAGAATGCATTCGATTTCTAGGGTAGAACATGCCAGAAATGAGGTACATTGTCTTTGTGACAGGCTTATGCGATGATCACATACTTTATCTCAATCCCCATTGTTTAAAACACTGTTAACATTTTGTGAGCTTTGACGCTGGTGTTCAGTGAGTGTGTATGTTGAATTCTGCATGTATTAATTGACCCTAGCAGAACTATTATAATGTATGCATATTTAGGTGAGTGCAGCTTTCTTGGCTTCGCGTGTGTTGTGTGCATGCGAACCCAGGGGCGGATCCATAACCTAATCTCGGGAGCAGCACTGGTAGATTATTTAAAGAAACAATCCAGGCACAATAAGCACTACAGCTGTCTGTAGTGGTTATGGTGCCAGGAGTGCCATGGTGCCCTCCAAGGGAATATGGACAGTAGTAGGCAATAGGGGCAGTAGTGTGTGTGTGTGAGAGGGTTGCAGTGTGTGTGGAATGCAGTGTGTTTGTGTTTATTGGCAACAGTGTGTGAGGGGTGCAGTATGTGTGTGTGTGTGTGTGTATTGTGGGGAAGTTTGTGTGTGGGGAGTTATTGGGGGTTGGTGGGCAGATTAATAAATATATACTTTTTTGAAAAATTAAAATAAATCATTTTTATATCCCTCATCCTTTATCTTTGCTGAGGGAAGGGGGGGGGGGAGGGGGTTCCTGCAATTCCTGGTGGTCGGGTGGAGAATCCCTGGTGGTCCTAGTGGTGAGAGTGAGAACCTGCAGCTCCTGGGCTAGAGTTCACTCTCGCGGGAACTGGAGCATTGCCGTGGTAAACGTGGCAATACTCTGTGTTTGCGAGAGGAGAACCCGGAGGAGCTGCAGGCTGAGCCCCCAGGTCCTTTCTCCCTCCCCTGCCGGCTGCCGGCAAAGGCCTACTGAGATCACTGGTCTCCCCTCTGGTCCTTGAAGGTACCCTGGGGATAAGAGGGGGTGGAAATTGCCCTGTTGCCGCCGCCCTGGATCCGCCAGTGTGCGCCCCATGGATGGATTTCTCTGCCTATTAAAATCCACCTCTATATTTCACATGGCTAATAGAAAGGGTGTGGGGGGCTGGAAACTTAGATAATTTAAAGGGAGATGAGACATGGGGGCTACAAACATGGCTAACTGCTAAAGGTAAGGCTGCTGGACACATGGCTAGTGAAAATGGAGAGGGGGTTCGAGGCTGGAAACATGACCAATGGAAACAGAGAAGGTAGGTAGAAACATGGCTAATTACTGTCCCAAGAATGAAGAGGACTGGAGATTGGCTATCTGAGGTGGAATGGACATTTTTGGATATATCTGAATGTGGTGGGAAGGAAACTGTGGACATGATTGATTAGAGGAAGGATGTCTATGGGCAAACATACTTTACACACATAAATACATACATAGACATACACTCAGCTTTTTACACACAAACACACATAAATAGATATTTACACACACTGGTACACATGTGCACACAATTTGTATGTTTGTATAAATATAAATATTTGTGTCATATTTAAACTCCAAATTTTGCTTGTATTTGTTTGGAGGGGGGATGGTTGCGGGCACTTGAGAATTATGTGCCTACAGGTGCTCATGATGTAAATCCGGCCCTGGCGTGCACACGCTCTTTTAATGATACCAGGGAAGTTATTTAGGCGTCAGCGCATGGTGGTAGGCTACAGATTCTAAATGTGGTCATGCCAAATACGGTCTATATAAATTTAATTTGAAAGGAAGGACACCAAAACTCTTAGAACAGTGCTGCTTGGAATCTCAAGGATTATTCCTTAAAGGGTTCCTCCAATCAAAAAAATTTTTTTCTTAATAAAAAACATTAGTAAAATTAAACAGCTAAAACTCACTTTACTCTCCAATGCCAAGGACATGTTTCTTTTGTCCGTTCTCAGAGTTCACATATTCTCTCTTTTTTGTGGTTAAGGTGCTTTGAGTACCCTGGCACCACTACGTCTTTGCCATAACAACTACCACCAATGGCCGGCTGTCAGCTGTCAATCTCCACCAATCAGGGCCGGACTGGCCCACTGGGATACCGGGAAATTTACCGGTGGGCCAGCACACTAGGGGGCCGGTGCGCGGCCGCCTAGTGTGCACCAGCCCGGGCCGCAATTAGAGGGTGACTGGAAGGATGGGATGCACTCCCCTCCTGCCGGTCACAGAATGTAGCGTGGCCGAGCAGGAAGACCGCGGTAGGGAGCTTCTGTTCCCCTACCCGGTCTGACAGTAACCTGCAAGCGAGAACGCTCCTCCCGCGAGAAAGCAGTTTGGAGCATTGCTGTGCGTTACCATGGCAACGCTCCGACCTGCCTGCTGTTCTCGCGGGAGGAGAGCGAAGTCAGCCTGCGGCCAGAGGAGCTGCAGGCTGAACTGCACGCGCCACCAGTGGACCACCAGGGATTGAAGAGTAGTCGTTCCCCCTCTCCCCTGGGCCCTGACCAAAGGTAAGGGGGAGGGGGGTAATATAAAGCTTTTTTTTTAATATATCAATGCTATAACCCCCCATACACACACTACACCCCCCCCCAACAGCACCCCTCCACACACACAGAACCCCTTCATACACACAGAACCCTCCACACACACAGAACCCCTTCACACACACAGAACCCTCCACACACACAGAACCCCTTCACACACACAGAACCCTCCACACACACAGACCCCTCCACACACACATAACCCCTTCAAACACACAGAACCCCTTTACACACACAGAACCCTGCACACACACAGAACTCCTTCACACACACAAAACCCCCCCCACACACAGAACCCCTTCACACATACAGAACCCCTTCACACATACACAAACCCCCCACACACAGAACCCCCTCACACACACATAACCCCTTCAAACACACAGAGCCCCCCCCCACACAGAGGGGGGTAATATAAAGCTTTTTAATATATCAATGCTATAACCCCCATACACACACTACACCCCCCAACAGCACCCCTCCACACACACACAGAACCCCATACACACAGAACCCTCCACACACACACACAGAACCCCACACACACACAGAACCCTCACACACACACAGAACACCCCTTCACACACACACAGAACCTCCACACACACAGACCTCCACACACACACATAACCCTCTTCAAACACACAGAACCCCTTTACACACAGCACACACACAGAACCCTGAACACACACACAGAACCCCTTCACACACAGAACCCCTTCACACAAACCCCACACACACAGAACCCCTCACACACACACAGAACCCTTTCACACACAGAACCCCCACTCACACCCCTTCACACACAGAACCCTCCACACACACACACACACACAGAACCCCACACAAACACAGAACCCCACACACACACAGAACCCCTTCACACACACAGAACCCCTTCACACACACAGAACCCCTTCATACACCCAGACCCCCCACACACACAGAACCCCTTCACACACACAGAACCCCACACACAGATCCCTTCACA